GTGTACGCGATAAACGTAACAATACCCCGATGGTCATGAATCTTTTCTCGTGTCGATAAGAAATGCCGCTTTTATTAACTCCAGTACTTTTTTCCTCCGATTTCCACAGCTTTCCCTTTCGAGTTCCGCATAACTATAGAAATTCTATTTCTTTTTATTTTTATTTATCGTTTATAAAATTACCTTCTTTATCGCATTTATCATTTATTGAATTTTTTTTTTAATTTACGCGGCCAATATTTTTTACGCGAAAGATTCGACACGTAACTCGGATAAATATACTATTAATAGCGAGCAGACTCGGCATTATCGATGATAATAATTTATCCGGCCGATTAAACGCTTTGGTCGTAATTAAAATTTACTGAGAGCGAACTTACGAATTCGCATATATATACACGTGATTTGTTGGATTTGTTGATTTATCTCCTCTTCGCGCGGCCAAAAACTCTCGGCTTTCCTTATCCCGTTCGTGTTGTAACTCGCTAATGCGTGAGTGACTAATGTAATTGCTCATTACCGAGGCAAAAAGAGAAACACATGGATCTACTCCGGCCCCGGGGCGCGAATTATTAATATTTATTTCGCGGTGCATCTGTTTTTTTTTTGTTTTTATAAGGCGTTTTTCACGACCACGTTTGACGCGCGTCAATCGCTCTTAACTAACGTCAAAACTAATGCCAGGCCATGAGATTCATCGGTTTGATATTAAAGGTATAATCATGCAAATGCGAAGGCCGATATACATACGTGTATGTCTAGTCGAGGAAAAATTTCTTCATTTGCGATTAATAAATTGTGCAACAAACGTGCTCAAACCGGAAACGACTCGATCGCGTATAATAGCGTGATTTTTGCATTTACTAGTAAACTTAAAACCGATAATTTTTTTCGTCGCGTTTTTTAAGGAAATCCCGGAATTCGAATCGATGTTATCGGTCGAATGCAATTTTCGTAATTTCCGCTCTCCGGTTTATAATAATTGCATCAGGCGTTACAAAATAAACATACGTTTACGTTGTAATGATAAATAAAAGTTATGCCGAGAATAAAATACATTTTTATTCTTTAAATATATACGATTTTACATGTCAACAATATAGGACATTTTCAGCTGTCCTCTCTCATATTTTCTCTTTATGTATAAGTCTCTGGATTTATATTAAAAATACAAGATCGCAATGTAAACGATACATAAAACTATTAGAGAAACCATCAGAGGAGACCACGCGGTTTAAAGATCTAAAATAACAATGTGTAGCAAAATTACGATTCGAATGTATTTATTATGCATATATAGTGAATAAAATAAAAAAAAAGAATAGTATAGATTATAATTTTCCAATGCATACACACAGAGTATTATTTATACCAATTGATAATTACGCATTATGTCGCAAAATACGTAAACAAAAGATTATATAAATGAATAAAATTTCATTATAAATGATCCTTTTTTCCCTCTCAAAAAAATTCCAGTTTGCGGAAATTTGCCGATTATTTGTGCGGAACTGTATATATAATATGTTTTGTGTGAACTATCATCGATTGTGAAAAAAAAACTATCGATTCGCGCGATCGAGCTTGGTCCCTCATAAATGAGACAGAGAAAGAGAAGTACTCATCTAAAATAGTCGAGCATACCAGTTTTGGCGCGAAGTGCGAGCGGAAACAAAACACCGAACATCGAGTGGATTCCTCAGCAAAGCAAAACAAAAAAAAACACACACATACAAGAGAATGAAATTATGTTTCGGACCAAAGTATAGCCTACTGTCCGGACTACCGAAGCAATCTTTCGAGAGGAAAGGACGGTGTGGTCCTTCACGGGTGTCCCGTGAAATTGCAGCGCCAGATGGACGAAAATGACGGTGTCCCACATTATTGGCTCTATCCTACGCTGGCCTTTATCCTTATTCTACGACGCTGAAAAACACACAGCCAATGGAATGGATATATCGGCGATCCGCGGAGCGGCTGATAAAGCGAGGGAGAAAAAACGAAACAAATCCTGGTATTAAATAAATTTGCGTTAGAGCGGGAATCGCCTTTCTCGAAATAAAAGGAGGCATTCGTTCGGCGTGTCTTCTCTCTCTCACACACACACATACGCGCATACACGAACACAAAGCCACGTGCTGCTGCTGTTTTCGCTTACCCGGCTTCAATCTTCCCTCTGCGCAAAATTTTTCACGACGCACAGCATTTTTGCCTTCGATCGGGCGAACGGAATCATGGCTGGTCCCCCATCTCTCTCCTTCTTCTCCTCATCCTCCTATTTTCCTATACAGGACGTAAACATCTCGTCCCTTCCAGATATTTTGCTTAACTTTCGATTATTATTGCTCGATAATGATTTCGCGGGGAATTGATGAATTACACCGATATCGCGATGATGACTCGCTCCTTGACGTGTTTACTTTCTTACTATCATCTCTCATTGTTGATAAACATTAGATTAGATTGATCAAAAAAAAAAAAAAACAAAGGGAGAATTGACAGCTTTTTCTTCAAAAGTGACATATTTGTCGGATTTGAATTTTTCAATGAAATGTATACTTGCTAAATGAATAATAATTGCTTAGCAATTGGTTTGTTTACAATTAGTTCTCGGTAACCTCGTGCAACGACTTTTTGCGAATCTTTTCGAGTCGCAATTCGCCCCCTCCTCTTATACACGTGATACTATCGCGTTCGAAATATATCGGCTTGTTTCCCACTTACATAATCCGAACTCTCGAATCTTCGCGATAGCTCGGCTTGTTATCGAACTTTGAAAACTTACGCCTCGTGTCTTGCGTTAAATCTCTCAACTTTCACTTACCCTGAAAATCTCACGCTTTTTCTAGGTAAATCGCTTTCGTAGTAACTCACAAGTTCCGTTATCCGTTTGTCCTTAGGGGATTCATTGTCAATTCATCTTGTATCTACCTGTTTTTCTATTCACGGTGGAAACATGTTTTTTTCTTTGTTAAAAACCGGTCCCCGTTACAATTTTTGTATTTAATATTTAACACATTCATGTGTTAATTTAACATATTGCTGTTGTGTTCATTGAACTTAAATGTTAAATTATTAAAACAACTGAAAAAAGATGTAAAAATAACACAATGTGCATTTATTTTTAATTTTATACATAATAAATATGTTCTGTTTTATTAGCGACAAGATTTATCTGTTAAAATTTACAGAATAAATGTTGATTTTTATTTTATAATACAAGTGAGGGTGATAAAATCTAAAATTATTTTTAGTTAATTTTTACATTAAAACAATGTTAATTTTACACAAAATTTATTTTAAATTACTTGAAGTTTTGCATTTGTTTTGTATTAAAATATTAACACAGTATTTGTGTTTCCATTTAACACATCCATATTATGTTAAGTTAACACAAAAATTTCTGTGAACCGTTTGAAACATATAATATCTGTGTTAAAATTATCATAAATTTTTCAACTATGTTATTATCTCTCTTTAATCTTATTTTTACGCATGTCATTTTTATATGGCTTATATTGCTCCGTATATAATTTTCGAAAATCTATACCCGAAAAATAATTCTCCCTCCCGTTTTCGCGATGAAAATTCGAAATTATCGGGTCAGAAATTTCGTTGAAAAAGAAATTATTGCAAAACGCAAAACGACGACCCGACAGGGCTTAAACAAGGTTTGTTTCGCATAGATTGTTAGATAGCTCGTTTCGTGGGATGTTAGCGGATGAACGGATCTTTGACAGGGTTGTGCTGTCGATATCTGACAATAGATGTAAAATTACATTCGCGTAGCGAGAGAGAGAGAGAGAGAGAGAAGACAAAGAGCTTTGCAAACGAGATCCAGTGTCGATCGCGTTGATCAAACTTCACGAGCTTATTTTCAGGCCGGCAACGCGTCAGAGTTTTCAAAAATACGAATTATCCGAAAAAAAATGTCTGGGCTGCCTGAAAAATGAATCGCCGCATTTTCGAAATTCTGGGCTGCGATTTTAGATAAAGGAACTAACGACGGGGTGACATCTATATATACTAGCTAGGCGCTATCGATCGTAGTTAACGATGGGAGAAAGTACATTCGCAGATGTCCTGGTGCATTAAGAGAGAGAGAGAGAGAGAGGAAGCATAATCTTTTTTTAATCTTCCCAACTGTACGGCAGAACCGAAAATGGGGATAATCGCGGCTCAAACGCATAATTATGCGTATCAGATCCGAAGGAAACGATCCCAACTGCGTTATTTTCTCCGCAACACTTTGGATACATCTAAGTCGTCATTCTTCTTTTATATCCCGAATAAGTATTTACGATATTAATGATCCTGGCGAAACACTATCATTTCGCGACACCGATTGTCGTATTCAGTCCACGCTTCGTTTCGCCGAATTCGCTAAAGCAATCATCATCGCGAGTTTCTTCTAGAAAAGTTCAAGGCGTGTCTGAGAGACACCCGGTATAATTATCGTGTAAAAAAAGTCCTAGGCGGTTCGTAATTCGAATTATATAATACGCTAAAAAAAGAATTATGAAATTAATAAATATTTATTTCAATACTGCCTAATAAATCATTCACATATTTGAAACAAATAAATATTTTTCACATCCAATCGGTATTATTAGTTTCAAATAAATGATTTATTAGCAAGTATTTAAATAAATATTTATTCGAATTCAATAAATTCTTTTCTCAGTGTATGCATGCATTATTTAAAAGAATAGCAAAAATATGTCATTTCGAGATCAGTGACGTGATTAAACGTCAAAATAATGTAAAATGACATCATTTTGACGTTTAATAACATCACAAAATGACATATTTTTGCTATCTGGAGCTTCTATTTTTCTTCGAAATAATCGTCACATAATAGTTCATTAAATGTCAAAATAACGTTATGAAACGTCAAAATAACGTCATTTTGACGTTTAAATCGACATCAGTGTGCTATACTCGGGTAATCATCTCGACTCGGGTCTCGAGAACGCTCGCGTTCCGTCGGAAAAAGTTACCTGCGATTAAGCAGAACTCCACTGTGACGACTAGTCGAACGCGTCCGGCAGACAACGTTCCGTCATCTCGGACGCGGGAGAAGAGGATGAAGTCCTTTCCCACCTAGTATCCCGCACACATCACGTCTCTGTGTTTTTCCGGGAGACAACAATCCTACGTCACTTCTCGGGAAGAAGGCGGCCGAGCAGTAGCACCATAACCTCAACGGAGTACAAACGTATAGGAGCACACGACACGACACGACACGGCACGGCACGATGATGAAGACGGTGGATGATGATGATGATCGGCGCCTTCCCTTCGCGGAAGCGAACGGAGGGATCCGCGCGCACGACAAGCTACATCTCGGAGCAGGAACGAACAGGAACGTCTCGGTACGAAACACACCCGCGTCTCTCCTCTCGCGTGACGCTTCTACGTGGATTCGCCCTGACGATCTCGCATCTCCTTGCCCGAGAGGAAGAGAGAGAAAATCTATCGCGTCGCTCCGCTGACGTTTCAACAACAAGCAGCTGCTCCGCCGCGGCTGTCAGTCGACGCCGCCGTCGGCGCTTCGGGCATATCTCCCTTTAATACGCGCCGGCCGGGCGTAGCTTAAAGTCGCGCGCTTTATCGCGGATTCTCGCGCGAGAATACATCCGCGGAGAATCCCGGGAGTCTCGAAAAGGTAAACTTTAGGCACTCGCGAATACTAGATTCACTTCGCGACGAGAAACCCACCAGCGACGGATGCCGGATCGTCGGGTGAGAGAAGTTTCGTCGTAGAAACAGTTTCGCAGCAACGGTTCGAACGTCTAACCTCGCCGGAACTTGAATATCTCTCGCGGATAAGTGCGCCGGGGAACGGAAAGAACGAAGGAAATTACGCGGCCGAAGACGCTACTTCCGGAGATAATCTCTCTCTTTCTCTCTCTCTCTCTCTCTATCTCCGGAGAGATCGCGCGACGAACACTCGAAGCGGCGCGACGCCTACACCGCCGAACGTCCGAATTGTGACTGCGGACTATGGGCTCGGGAGATTGGGAGTTCCCGCTGTGGCGCCAGAAGGGGGCGCACTGCGCGCCGCCTAGCGGCAGAAGCCACGCCTTTCGCGCGGGAGTTCACGCCCCCTGTCGACGATCGGAGCGTCCTCTTTGCGGCGCCCGCTTCTGCGAACGATCGCGACGTTATGAACGCAGATGAAATTTGTTTTGCATCATTGCCGATAATTAATCGTATTAATACGTATTAATACGTTTGATACGGATTTTAGCGATTGAGATATTCGGATTCGTATTTGTGTATTATTCTCTAATAGCATAACGATATTCGAAAGATATTTATAAGATAATCAGAGGATATCCTCAGGATGTTCTCTGACCGTCTTCGGGATATGTGGGCTATTTTCTCTTTGGGACAGATCGCTTTCTAATTGAGAGATAATTAACTTTTCTATGAAAACATTGGGAATCGTTAATGAATAATTGAGCTATGCGACTGACCGTTTTGAACTCAAATGAATCGTCGAAAAGGTCGATGCTAATGAAGGAAAAGCTTTTTCGAGAGCCCTATATCGATAACGACGCGCGCATTCCAAATAATTAATATATCTTTGATTGCCTTGTGATTCATTTATGATATATATAGAGTTGCTCCATTCTTAATTCCGATTAAATATTATTATTTTTACTATTTAAACGAGCATGAAAGCATATTTTCTTAAGTGTCGTACATGTTTAACATTAGTTTAATGTGACCAATTTTGCACTATAATTTAGTTTGAGTCATCGCTACTTATTGTGTGTGACGTCTCTGATTATGTTGCAACGATAGATTCCAGATAATAAATGTCAAATGTCATTATTTTTACCCCTATGATTTTGCAATCTTGCTAGAATTGACAAATTGGTTAAATTTATTAATATCGATATGTATGACGTTCAATAAAAGAATGTTTCTTCTCTTTCTTTTTTGGAAAAATGTCTAGTTGACTTGCCAGAGAAAGAATTCTAACTTAAATACGCTATTTTCATATTTGTAATAAATCGTATATTATTTTTTTTTTTTGCGTTGGTAGCTTAAGATGTGTTTGTTCCTCGACATAAAATTCGATAGTTGTTAAAATTCTATAAACGTTATCTCGAAGCTATTTATAGTTGTACAATGAAAAATGCATTTCCTTGATCGGTATAAATATAAGACGCAATTTTATGTTCTATTTTCATTACCAGGCTACATTTTGACAATTTATCATGCAGCGATGCAAGAGTCGCTTTTATATCTAAAATAATATCTTGAATCCAGATGTAATAAATAAACCAAGATATATACGTGTCTGTGCATGTGTGTCTATATTCTATTAATAATAAATGAATATAATATATAATAAAATGATATAAATAATGAAATTACCGAGATTTTTTGAGATTCTTAAAATATATATATTATTTAAACGAGAAATTTAAAAAAAATAAATTTCGTCAGAAACTTAATATACACACACACAATACACACATGGAGAACAAATATTTCTCCTTCTTCGCATTGGGCATTCCTAACTCATTATATTTCCACAATCCCGATTAAATATTCTCTCTACAACTTTGTGTTTACTATATCACGAAGCGATATAATAAACACAAATACAGTAATAAAATATTATACAGAAAGCGTATTTTCAAATGCGAATCGCGCTTTCCTCGAGCATGAAAGAACGCAAGAAAGAAAGACAAGAAACAAGCGCGATAATCATCGCGAGACGAAGGAAAAAACGCGATGTATCTAACCTTGACGCAGCTCCGGAATCCCAGGACTCGTTTCCTCCGTCGTTCCTCCTCGTCCAGCCGTACTGTCATCAGGCATCATCCTCGTCGTCTCGGTCCCCAGATCTCCACGCAGGCCCAAGACTCTCGCAAGGACGACGATCGGCGGTCCCGATTACGGATCTCGCGTGCGCGTCAGCATGGCGCCTTCCCAAGTGAAGCGAAAGGCGGTGTCGTGCCGGTGCGAACCGCCGCGTTTCGGCCGCGCGCGCCCCGCCCCGATGACGAGGGCGCGCTTTTGCCGGTGCACCTCGTCCTCGTCGGCTCCGCCTCGCGGGCGCGCGATCAAACGCCATGACGCGTGCGCCCGCCACCAGCGGGACTCTATGACGCGCGTTCGAATTACTGCCGCCATGCTCTCTCTCTCTCTCCCTCTCTCTTTCTTCGGACTCTCTCGCGGAAAGCCGCGAGAGGCGGCCGCGCCGATTCTTTCTTCTCTCTTTCTCGTTTCGCGATTTCGTCTCATTTGCGTTTTTCGTAATCGGCTGATGAAGCCGCCGGTCACGACTTCCCGGATGAGAACGCGACTCTCTCACGAGTTTCCCAAGATGAATAGTTTTTGGCTCTTCTGCGGAACGTCTTATATTTTGCACTTTATGCACTTTGAGCATAATAGTGTATATAATGTGTCGAAAATTGTTTTTTAAGCATATAGTACATGTAGTTGAGAAGAGGGAAGACTTTAGGCAGCTCTCGATTTGACGCGAAGTTGTCGCGGATCGTTGCACTTCAAACAACTTCATGTGTCAAAAAAATTCCTCAATGCTCCGAATCTGAATATTTTGATATTTTTCAGGCAGTTTGAATAATTCGATCTTTTGTGTTGAATTGAGGTATCTCGATTTATCTCAATCTATCTCGATTTACACACACAATTCGGAATATTCATCATCACGTCTTGTTATACTATAAATTAATGGAACTTTTTGTTTTAATTGAGTTGACTTAAAAATTGAAATTTTTAATGCGATTAAATCTTGTGCTTTTTGTTCGACAGTCTAAATTATCAATATAAGAACACTTACGCATGTATGTTTTCTTCTCGAAAAATATTAAACTATATCATATAAGAAGAAAATCCGGTTATCATCAAATACCAAATGAATTCAAGAATGGATACACTTAATAATATTAAAGCTATTTAACAATAAAACACATGATTTCGATAGAGATGGCTGTACGTATAGCAAATGATGTGTAAAAACTTCGTGCTATGTTCACTCAGTATAATATAGATAGAATGCGATATACAATATATAGGTACAGTAATATTGTTGATATAACACTAAAAAATAAATCGATAAAATTACGTCGGTTTTATGATCTATATTAGCTGATACCTAATCGCAGAAAATTACAAAAAAAAAATCAACTTGCCGAAACCCGGGATTGAACCGGGGACATTTAGATCTTCAGTCTAACGCTCTCCCAACTGAGCTATTTCGGCTTACAAGTATACATCTTTTCTCTGCCACTCTTTGGTAATCGCGACTCGGTATATCACTGGAATTGTGTACCGTTATATTGTAATTTTGTTTGTGTGTGTGTGTGTATGTTGATAGACATTTGTCAATTTCATTGTTCAATCAGCCTTCTGCCACATGCACAATCTCAATCAGTATTGTGTTGGAAACATCGGACGTGGCAAGTAGCTGTCATTTCGCAATTTCTGGAGTATTTGCAAAGTTTAGCATTGTGATTAAACGAACAACAAAAAAATGCGACGATCGATGATAAATTGCAACCAAGTGCAAACCGAAGTGATAACGGAGGGGCGTTGGATAGAGGAGGAACCGCTACCTCATTCCAGCAAGAAGGTGGTGCTCGTTATTCCTGGGAATCCAGGTGTTCCGCGATTCTATGAGACCTTCATCAAGACGCTCAACTCGAGAATAAACCCGGACACACCTGTCTGGGTCATCGGACACGCTGGACATGTCCAACCACCGGAGAACTTGGAAATCGCTATGCCCGGCAATGACAAGTGGGCAGAATGCTATGGTTTGACAGCGCAGATTCAACACAAGGTACATTTTAGACATCTCTCTCTTTGGCTGCTTCCTAATTAATTTACTGATATTTATTATCTCATACAATATTATGCTATGTGATTTATAATATTATATCTTCTTTTGTAGGTGGAATTCATAAAGAAGTACGTTCCAGAGGATGCGCAGTTATATCTTGTTGGCCATTCCATAGGTGCCTGGTTTACACTCAATTTACTAAAGAACCATGACATTAATGGGAGGATAAGAAAATGTTATCTGTTGTTTCCTACAGTAGAATATATGGCAAAGAGCCGTAATGGAATGTTCTTTTGTACCTGTGTGAGTTTTTTGATATATATTTTATTTTCATTCACGTATCATTGTTTTGATATATTTTTCTAAAATGTATGACTGTATGATTACAAGTATTTTCTTTCTTTTTAGGTATCACGTGTTGCACCAGTGTTGGTTTTCTTATCTTGGATTTTCACAGCAATGTTTCCACTCTCTTTGCAATCATTAATGATACGTATTTTTGGTATATTTTATGGTATTCCAGCCAGATGTGTCAAAGCGGTTCAGGAAATGTTGAATCCAAAGGTCTTGCATAAAATATTCGCTCTTGCAAATGAAGAAATGAAGTACGTCAAAGAAGCTGACCATGAGACTATATCAAAATATGCTGATAAGCTTTGGTTTTATTATGGCGCCAGTGACGGTTGGACACCTGTGGAATACTATAAAAATATGATATCCAAACATCCTAATCTAAATGCTCAATTATGTCAACGTGGTTTCCAACATTCATTTGTACTAAAGGATGATGTGGATATGGGACACATTGTTGGCGATCTCATCAATGAGGACATTGATTAATCTCATATTTCAATTGCATTTAATAGTGACATTTAATAGTCGCACTTATTTCGCAAATATTTTTGTGATATTTTTGGATATGGGTGTATATTATTGTTTTATAATTTTTTTATGTTATATATTTATTGTATTTTTATTGTTATTATTTTATTATTTATATTATAAATGGGAATTGTTATTTTTTAACACAAGGGATACATCAAGAATTTTTATAATTTATATATAAAAAAAGTTTAAACACGCAATATAAAATGCTCAATTTACATTGTATAAAATAGGAGACATCTTGTATACAATGTTGATATTAAATATTATATTGATATATTGTTAATTTAAAATATCAGCATTTATTAGATTTCCAGATTTATTTCCATTTCAAATTTGGCGCCATTTGAAACCTTAAAAATATAACGTGGGAAGAAGAATGCATCTAGGACAATCATAGTTATCACAAGTCTATTTCGTCATGATTTATTTATAGATTTGTGTGTGGCGTGTATATAATATGTGTATGAAACAATTTTATTACTTTTTATCTAACGTTCTTATCAATGTAATTAAATTTTAATTTTATTAATTCGCGACATTAAAATTTCGCATTAAATACTTCTAACGAAATATTCCAACTCTTGATAAGTTTTACCCGACAAGTAGCTTATCTTTGTCTCTTTTTTTAGAACTTATCTGAAAAGAGACGAAAATATGCTACCTATCAGATAAAACTTACCGAGAAGTTGGAAAAATCGGCCCTAAGGGCCAACTTAATAACTTATTATAAAAAAAAGAAAGAAAATAAGCGCAGTGTTTCCTTCTCTCGTTCGCACATGCGCAGTGACGTCATCGCGCCCGATTGGATACTGATCGCCCTTCTACCTCCATTTTCTTTCGTTAGAAAGAGAGACGAAGCATCGTCCTTCTCTCTCTCTCGACGAATCCTCGAATTCCGAGTCTGCGTTTTCCTTTCTCACGTTTCGCCTTCACCCGGTTCGTAGTCAGTGGCATTCCTTACTCGATACAGGTTGTCGTTCGTGGTTGTGGGTGTTTGGATTCTCGGTAGTCGTCGAGTGGTTGAGTCAGTCAGTTCGATCGCAGTCTTCCGCAGGGACTTTCCGTGTAACGAGCGATCGACCACCGCATCGAAGCAACTGCATTTTCGAGTCCACTCTGAGTAAACGTCAAGATGTTGCGCCTCGCAGGAGCGTTTTTGCTAATTTGCCTGCACGCGGGATACGTTCACGGTGAGAAAACATTCGATTATCTGAATTTCAAACAAAGAAGGGAGTGGCGTGTACATACAATAAATACATAACATCATGAGAAAAGCTTCGCTCTCGACGCCACATTTTACGTAAAATGATACGGGTGTAGTCGGAATTATATATGTTATATAATATGTTTATGTTGGGGAAAAAAAATGGGAAAAGGAAAGAATTTTGCGAGAGAGGATGGATAGATAAAGAGGGAACGGAGATCAATAAATTTTCTCATTATTCATATCATCATGATAGATACGAGGGAGGAAAGCAAAGTAGGTGCGTTCTATATAATCTTAATAATATCTAAAACAGAGTAATATATATGCTTATTAGCGTCATTTTATGCGCCATGTATACGTATCGCTAGTTTGAAGTCCCTTGCGCTTTTTGATAATAAAAATTTGTGATCTATATTTATATCTATTTTAAGTTTTTGTTTTATTAATTTTTATTTAATTTAATTAATTTAATTTTATCATGTATCTATAAATATATACGCACTTCGAATTTTTATAATTATTTACCATTTTATATTTTTAATTTAAAAAAATATAGCTGTTTGATATGGTTGAGTTAAAGTTAAAAATATTTCTCTCTAATTTTTTTGCATACCATGTGAAATTCAATCTTGCACATTGCGTGATTTCAGACGCACAATCAAATATGAAAAAATCGAAAAAGAACAGAAAAAATGAAACGGACATCATTAAGCCATCAATTTTATGAAATTAAGTCGTAGTATTGATAATGAATTCTTCGGTTTATCTCTCTCTCAGCCGTACAATCGGTTCAATTATAACTTCATTTGAATTCTTCCGAGTTGAATGTTTTTGTTTTTAATTTTTTTGTTGCACTCAAATTGCATAACAGTACACGTTTTTTTTTCTTTATAAAATAGATTGGAAATAATTTTGAATAAATTTTTCTTTTTTTCTTTTGATAACTTTTATATCCTTGAAAAATATAATCTCATCATTATTTGTCGATATTCGTCAGATAAAGAGATGATTTATAACGTGTCATTTCACATTTGTGACAAATAAAGTTAAAAGAGCAGAAATAATAATAATAATTGTGTTCCATTTACGAGGCTGACTTCAACGATGGAAAGAGAATGCCTGTAAGAAAGATAAGATAATACGTGAAAAAAATTTGCGTATGTAGGTAGTAAATGCTTCCTGCGCGATCTCCTTTATGTTTTTCCCATCCACAAAACACTCGTTAATTGTATTGCAAATTAATGCGTAACCTGCTTTTTACGCAATTTGTGTCGCTTATCGATCGTCAGTTTTTCATATATATATATATATATATATATATATGTGTGTGTGAAAAACTACGATCGATAAGTGACACAAATTGCGTGAAACCATGCTCGCGATTATGCTATCACCTGACAATTGACTGATATGTTTAATTAATCGATGAGTCCGTCATCGATTTCCTATCAATATTGACTTCCATTTGTTTTTTGTTTCTAAAGTAAAATGTGATGCAGGTATGAACCTTTTTTGGGGAGCACCCAGGGAGAAAAGTCATTTGAGATTTTTTGAAAGGATATTTCTTTCTTCAAGAAGTATCTTATTACTGAGAAACAATTTTGTGGTTATTTTCAACCTTAAAGAACTATTCTTGAGAATGAAACCTATAGTATAGAATATAGTATAGAATAATTTCTTAATCCATATCATAGGGTCGTTCATATAAAGGGAAGTCGATTACTCGAAAGATAAAAGATGACTCAACGTTGTAAGATTTGAACGAGAAATCGCTCACGTAACGAGGATAATATACTTGCATAATATCCGTAATGGATTAGAATTATATATTGATCGTCGGGAATTTTTATTTAGCAAAACAAAATCCCCGACCTCTAACAATCGGCAAAAAAAACGAGTTTATATCCTTACAATTAGTCGTTTTTGTTGATCAACAAAAGACAGAGGAAGGGAAAATTTTACCGATTATTATACCCCAAATATTTTCGATAACTACAACTATACTAGTTTAGTATCAACTATTTTTTTATTATATATATAATCGCGGTATCCTAAAAATTTAGGAGAAAAAATGCTTAAAAAAATTGAGGAAAAAGTAATATGAACAAAATAATCAAGTTCGTTCGTGTATTATTATTTCGTTAATTTTTGTATAAGTATTTAATGTGGATTTTTTAACCGGTTTGCTTAAGCGGAAAAATATGCGAGCAAAAAATATGCTAATTCGAGAGGCACACGTCAAAATAATAGAAAATTAATCTCTCTTCCTTTGAAAAGTTTATTGAAATGTGCATGGCGAGCTCTCTGCTTCTAAGAACGAAAGAAGTGCGTCATCGTATAGACGTGCATTTAATCTCGCTCACGTATTATACAGTTTCATGTTTATAGTTGATAATGTAAACTCTAAACGAAGTGCGTCTCTAAACTTTCGCTCTAGCGACTTTGAGTTATACAAAGTATTTTGAACACACATATAATTTCATAAATATCTCGATAATTAATCGGATATATTAAATACATATAAATAAAACAATTATTAATATATATATATATATATATATATATATATTAATGACATAAAAATTATTCTTTCCTTAATTGAAATTATTTAATGAATAACATCTTGTCAGCAATTAATGGTTCGCGCGAAGACATTTTTATATTTTTTAGAATATGTTGTGCCTAAAAATCATTACATACAAATTGCTTAATTTTTAGGAATGGACTGTTCTTTTGGACAGAGCAAGAATTTTGTGGATAAGATATTAAAATCGTGTCCGGGTATCCTGGATTCGTCTGACAAGTCTTATTGCTGCTACGATTTAGTCGATGAAAGGGCCTATTGTTGCGACGCCGAGGAGTTTGCAGTGAAAACCGGGTAAAGTTTCTTCGTAATCGCTCGTAACATGCTTTTGTTTAAAATAAATCTCTTATGCGTGATGCTTGATATATCTATTCCTAATAGTATAATTTAATAATTTCTTTAATATTTTTTTAAATTTAATTTATTTTAATTTAAATCTTTAATTTAATTTAATAATTTCTTTAATAATTTTTTTATATAGTATAATAATTTCTATTCCTAATATTTAATATTTATTCCTGTGTTGTGCGCAGGGGAAAATAATAATCAATACTTTAATACATATATAATGTTACTTCGCAGACTCGGTATCGTGGTTCCCGTGATAATCGCTGCAGCTATAGTCATTTCACTGATAGTGTGTTGTATATCCTGTCTCTGCTGTAGCTGTTGTCCGTGGTATCGCCGTCGTCATCAGGGCACTGTCTACGGAAGTAAGCCTTTATCTTGAATTTTTCCTGTATTAACTGTACGTCACTACTCCGGATTTTCCTTACGTTCAATTCACTATACATATAGTATACAATATTTTCCATTACGTATGAAACGAATAATCAGAGACAGCAGCAATAGCTTTCGTGAAAAAGCACTCTTCAAACGATACTTAAATAAATTATGTCTTTACGTGACAAACGCAATCGTAACATTAGTAATAAAGCTAAGTGCCATCGGTAAATTAATAATAATAAAACTAAATATATCGAACTTTGAATTGGTCAGTAATGGAATCGTCATTCTTTCTAGGATCTAAGGCCATGGCATAATATCATTCCGACACATCCCTCCTGTGAAGAGTTTGCATGTGTCAGGGTTTGAAATATTTTTCAATTATTTACACATCTCCTGCTTTTTACATATAGCCTCGCATTAAGATAATATTCCCACATAGGGAAATTTATATATTTAATACATATATATCTTTAAGCGGAATCCTCCTTGTAAGAATGCTCGTCTAGCAGCCGATTATTTTTGTACGAGTCGTGTTAAGTGTTTGAATAAAAACACTATTTTTACATGGAGAATCCGCTCTTAAAGCCTAAACTAGTTCGCACAGTGGAAATCGAATATGAAATACAAAAAATATATCACGTTGTGATATTGAATTTAATTTTGTATAAGTTTTATTTTGATACTTTCGTCGGTTTTATCTTGTATAATATTAAGAATATTAAGAATCTTCCAAAGTGTATTTAATCTACTTACAAAATGTTCCACATAATTGTGGTGTGATAATATATACATACAATACAGCTATCTTTTAATTTTTTTTAATATTTTTTATATTATTGAAAACATGCACTATCTAGAAAGAAAGAGAAAGCTGTATAGTTATAATATAATAGTTATTAACGATAAGTTTGATGGAACATTTCGTATGTAGATTTTATTTTTATTTTGACAGACTTGTTTAAATTCTCTAAGAATGCGCTCAAGTAAACATTCCTTATATACATACAGTCTTCTGTGCTCGTTTATTTAAACTCGCTTGCATTTAGAATCGCTAATTTAATATTGTAGTAGCATGCAGGTCATGTATGTATTTATAATTAAATATTATAAAAGATACTGAAGAATATATACATTTTTCATAAAAAACTTTAACTTATTTTGTATACATATATTTATAACCCAATTCATATCACTCATCTCATCATCTGTATATCATTTCTTTCTTTTTAATGAAATATGTTTAATATAAAATTATAAGATATACTTCTTTAGAACAAGGGTTTTCAGTTTTCATCAATTTATTTTTTTATTTTTTTGTAAATTTTGTAGTCAAGTTTATCAAGTTTTTTGTTTTTTTTTTTATTTCGTTGATTTGAATTCTTGATACTAATTTGCTTGCTGTCTCTGAAGCGAACTTACGTATGGATTAGGATCTCTTTGCATCTATTACACGAGTACTTGTTGCAGAAGTGCAGGCACCTGTTGTGCAAGTAATTCAGCCTCCGGCATCACTTCCACCGAGCTACACCAGCCAAGCAGTTCCAAATCCATACCCATATCAAATTCATAATCCCCCGTATCCAACAAGTTCGACAGGTATTTGATCTAAATTTCTACATATTTATTATTACAAAAGTTCTTCGTAAATTCAAGCTTTTTTATAAAACGCCGGTCTACAAAGAGACTTCGGTACTTTATAAAAAGGCAAAAAGTTTGCAAATAATTCTAAAAATAATCAGGTAATTAATTCCACTCTAATTTTTAGGAATGCCACAACCCCCACCGTACACTGAAGCGTACGCTAAACAGGCTCCGTACAACCCCGCATATCCACCACCATCGTCGCAGTAACAACGTTCCAGATTATAGTTACCTTAGTGCCTTGGTTACAGTTATCGATGAAACAAGGTTCCTCTTACCATTGTCCGCCATCGCCAGGGCAATTCTTGTCGAATCTGAGCTCGGTGTCAATACAGAGAATACATTGTGTTCATCTGGCCGTCGTATAGCACAAGCAGAATCATGATCGATGTGCGGTTTACGCGATGGTTCATCTGCAAATACTCTCGTACAACTTTTTACAAATATATACACTTTACATGTTTCCGATATGTTCTTCCTGTTGGATAGATTTTGCTGAAAAGTGTTTGATACTTTGATTTTATCACACGTTTTTACATATTTAAAAACATGATATTAAAAAGTATATTCTTGTAGAATACTTTTTATAATTTATAGGTTTTCTGAAATTAATATAACAAACTGTGTGAAATATTATCGACAACTTACAAATTTATAATAAAAAAAGTATATAATACTTATTGAACTCTATTCAATTGTATAGAATTTAAATGTATTATTGTTAATAGATTTAATTACAAGATTAATAAAATGCTAAGATATTCTTAGAAATTTTATTATAAATAAAATTAATCCAACTGTTATGCACAAATTTTATCATACTAAGATTTCAATAGAAGACCTACACTCATTATCTTTTTAATTATATACAGTTATGAAAATAAATTATATAAAAAATTATACAACATATAATAATTTATTTATATATATATAAATTATATATATATATATATATATATAAAATATTTATTTTATATATTTATATAAATTTATATAATAAATAATATGAAAAAATTGATGTAAAATTATTTGTATATTGTTAAATTGTGAAATATAAACACACACGCGGGATATGGAGAGGACGAAAAATTTCGAAAGAATGTGTCTACATAATGGATAATTCAGTGAAAATCGCATTATTATTCTCTCAATATTTTCGATATACAATTATTAATTAATTAGGTACAGGAACACTTTAACGTTCGAGTGATATTAATTGATGATCAATTACATACAATTAAAAAACGTCAACCACCGTCGATTCGCGGCGGTTCGAATTATATAAATAAACGGTACGTGCGTCGTTTCTACGGTTTTTTTTCCTCCTCGGTTTTCCCATAGGGAATCACGTGTAGGAAGCGAGCTCCCGTAGGGCGAAATTGAATCATCGATTTAAAGGGCCACCTGATAAAAAAAAACGTCGAGCAGTTTTTACATTGTACTTTCAGTTAAATGATTTTTACAATTTAAGTCCTTCAGTCTCAAATTTTAATCTATATTTTTTCCTGTTTTTTACAATTTCTTTGATGCGAAATAAGATGCAGGTCAACTGAATTGTTTTTTACAGATCGAAAGAATAAGTATAATAGATTAAGTATCCTTTTTACTTATCTTTATCTACGATCTTTATTAAAATGTGATAGGCTTCGGCTATATAAGAATAGACTGTATGCCTGTGTAAAAATATATAATATAAATAGAGTTTATATATATACATATATATAGATGTATACATGCATGATATACAGGAGCATTAAGACAATTTAAACATATCGAAGCAATAAGACACGATGACACAATCTATATTAAATAATCAAATATATCAAAATAAAATTATAATAATCGTAATGTAATCAGTATCTTTTATTTATTAATTAAAGAATATAGAAGAATTTAATAAAACACTTGATGGCGATTTGAATTTTCACGATTAAGATAAAATCCACTTGATTAATCAAATCCCATCCAATGTTTATTGCTAGACTTTGATAGAATATCCAGCTAACAGTCTATACTTATATAGGCAAAAGACGAGTTTTTAATTTCGTAATAAAAATTAGAATTTAAATAATTCGAAGGGATAAGATTAAAATTGTCCAGAAAAGTCATGTAAAACAAAGTTACATGTGTACAATGAAACGCGCGCGATTAGTGCCTACAAAATAAATATTACAATATGGAATTGAAAGCCTGCATCAAAGATTTCTAGATTGGAGATTTTAGTTCAAAACCGAATACATTTGACAGTTCTCGATAAGAGACTGAAAAGTTTAAATAAACTGCTATAGACGAATCGCCGATATATCGGTGTAAATACAATTTTGAGAGAATATATTAATAATATTGGACACACAAAATGTTTCTCTTCTCTCTCTCTCTCTTTCAGGATTAGGCCCCTGTACTGCATTTATAAATATCTTTCAACCTTCGTACTCTCTTTTTTCTTAGGCTTATTTCGACCTTATCGTACTAAAAAGGCACATATTTCCGCACCTGATAATACATTATTACAATCTAAACGCTAATGATTTTTCTTTTTTTTCTCCACCGGTGTTCGCCATTCCGATATTAAAATTGCGTGTTTAGATACATGTATTGTAAATCGCCATGTATGTATTTAGGCCTTATATGCTTGCTAAGATTATTTCGCAATAATGTCGGATGGATGATCATGACACAATGATAATAGTGGCACAACAAAATATGAAAAAAGGAAAAAAAGAAAAAACATGATTTGCACGCAATTTTATTCTCAATTTTATATTCTCCGAATCCTTGCATGTCGCATTGCGTAGAATTCCTGATCTATCAGAAAAATAATGAGATTAAATATGCAGCGCATAATGTGAAAACAGTGAAAAATTGTAATATAAAATATAATTTTTTTTAAAGCAATAGAGTTTTGATTCATTCATATGTCATAACGTTTTCGTATTAATAGATCTCATTAGTTTTCATAATTATGGAGACAAAACACTGAATAAAAAAAAAAAAAAAAAAAAAAAAAATCAAGATTTATATATGCTCAGATTTTTTGACAGCAAATGTCGGAAAAATATAAACCGCGCGCTGGTAAAATCTTAAGTCTAAACATATGATAAAGCATGATCATCAAATGCTTTTCATGACACAATCCGTGGTTTTCCTTCAATTTAATACAAAACTTTATCGCACTTTGTTTAATTTTTTGTCATTCCAAAACGAAAACGGTGAGATATACTAATGCATTTTTACGAAAAACGTTATAATAAGACAAACACACTGAACAAATCAAAACTTGTAGTGCGCTTTTAAAGGATTATACTTTACATTCTGCGCAAATTCAATCAATCTCATTACTTTCTGACAGATTATGTATATTATATACACTAAACAAGACGCGTGATTGATGTCTTATTCACATAAAATACATAATATCTTAAGACGTCAATTTGTGATCTCTCTCTCACTCTCTCACTTACTCTCTCACTTACTCTCTCTCTCTCTCACTCACACTCTTCTATATAAGTTCTATATAGTGCCTACGTGGACCTTACTAAGGCGATCAACTACGCGATCACTACCTTTGTACAGTCGTTTGGAGAACTATGGGAAGTCTCTGTTCGAGAGGAAGAAATTGTTCAGCCGGTCGTAATGTATTCGATACATTGATTCGACGCATTGTTGTTGCCCAAATTGCCCCGTAAAAGTGACGTTAGATACCAAAGCAGGCGGAATTACAGCAAATAATTTCGCTTAACAAAGTCCGTATCGATATAATAAAAGTTGTCCGTCCTGTCACGAAACAGTCAACATTACATACTAATTTATGTACAATAAAAAGCGCTATCGCACGCGAGTTGGGTAAATTCGTTAATAAGGTAATCTTGAAAGGGGACATAAAAAGAAAAGAACGTTCTTCTCCGCCCTAGATACGCGTGAACGATTTTGAAAAATCAGAAGCAGGCAGTGAGAAGAGTAACAACGTTCTTCAGAGAACATTCGACCGACACAGTTTATCGTGAGGCCGTTTATCTCCTTCCTTTCCATACTGTTCATCCGTGCAACGATATTGCTCGATTCGATAATTTCTTTTTCTGATCAATTAAAACTACTTTCTTAGGCAATTATGAAAGATGGAGGCCGCGTGACAAGCGTTAATATGTATTATAATATAATATATATATATATATATATATATATATATGTATGTATATATATATATATATATATATATATATATATATATGTATATATATATGTATATGTATGTATATATATATATATATATATATGTATATATATGTGTGTATAAATATCGAGCGAATCGACTTGCCGGCCTATGTGTATGTGTATATTTGTCATGGGCGTCCGCAGGATATTTTCCAACAAGGGCATAATTACATTTTTCTTCATTTTTAAAATTTAATTTTTTTGTTATTTTTATTTTTTTTTATATTAAATATACAAATAAATAATAGTGTTTATTTAAAAGGAAAGCAAAAGCTTTATTTTGTTACTGATTCCAAGGGCAAATGCCTCCTCTTGCCCCCCCCCCCTGCGGACGCCTATGTATATTGTGTGTCGGATCTCTTAAATATTTATTGCGGCACTTGGTTAAAAATCGTGCATGTTGTTCTCTCGCTCGTTTCATTTTTTTCTATTCAGTCTATTACTCGAGCGTTTTAACTTGCGCCATCACTTTGCCTTCCCAGAGTGGCAAAACCTCGGTATCGTCCGTTATTTCTTCCTGAATGACTTTCATATCCAAGTCCTCGCACTCCGTTTTAAAGAAGTATCTACGATATAAAAAAAACTTATAAAATTAGCGAAATTATTAAAAGTATTGAGTACTGCTAACGAGACTGCAAGATAATGTTATTTTTATATATTATACATTACCGATAGCTCCCTTTCTTCGGAAGATACTCCTTGAACTGTTTTAAAGTGACGTTGTGACCAGGAATCTTCGTCCTGTATGGGAACTGCTCGTCACAGAAACTGAACACAACAATGGTAAAGTCGCCCGCGTCCTGCTTCGGTTTCCTCAACGTGGACTGATTGGACTGAACGTACGATTGGCTCTGCAACTCGAACGCCTGTTTGGAAACATTCAAATGTCGTTGCTTGCAATTGGCGCGTATTCTATTTTCCTCCAGTAATCTCCTACATGTCTCCTCTAATTGTATAACCTGCAACATATATACATTTGTAATGCATATGCACTGTCAAGAGAAGAAAGAGAGAGGAACAGTTTCGATTTACCGTGTGAGGTGGCGTTAAAGGTGGCATTCCTGGATCAGCGACAAACGGTTGAGCGGGTACACCCATACTCCAGGTTTCTCTGTTTGGTCTTTCCAAAGATCCACTACGCGAACCAAATCTCTTGCCGTGACGACTACTATGCTTCAGTTCCGCCTTCTTGTCTGCTTCCTTAAATCGGGGCAACAGGCGAATATCCTTATTTATGGAAGGTGGCACGTCGCTGACGACGCTCACCCCGCTGTCCGTTAATTCTGCCATCGATTTCTTTGTGGCTGATCGTCTTGTTACGTCCGACCTTCGGAATCTCTGTTCATGACCTGTGAATGAGAAAAAAAAAACGTTTTACTTTAGCGATCACCATAATTTGATTCGCACGTGTATAATAAATTGAATTCTTACCCTGGAGATACAATCCTGTTTGTGGAGGGAATCGGCGTAATCGGATGGCACGGATTTAGATTTTGGCAGATGCGAGCCTAACGAACTCATGGAACTAGCTCCGACGAGATCGCTACCATCCTGGAAATCGTGGATATTACCACTATCCACTGAGAAAGTGGAGTCCACATCCTTTTCTTTCCTCTGCTTGTAACATCGTGGATGATTGTGCATCACACGTCTCCTCTCAGGCGACAGCCTAGGGGTTCTCGACGGTGTCTGGTCCGACCAGACACGGGACACGTGCTCGTCGAGGATCGCCTGATCGCTATCTTCCTCCAGGAGCAATTTCTCCTTCAACGCATCACCCAGAGTCTTGTGAGCTGTCCCGTTCATTGCTTCTGACGACACGTCGTTACCGACCGCCAGATCGTTCTCTTGCAAATATTTGTCCAGTTTCTCCTGCGACTTTTGCTCCCGCGCCAGAATTTCCAATTTATGCGTGAGCATTTCCGCGAATTGCTTCGCCGGCATCTGTTTCGGGGACGCCATGCGCTGGGTTCGCGGAACGACGTGGTGCGCCATGGATTCGCGATTTATATTTGCCGACTCTTTGATTGCTCTACTAGATTGCTTCGCGTATTGCTTTTTGCTCCTCTGTCTGCCGCTCGTCCCGTCGCTGTGGATAAGTTGCAAATACATGAATTAATAACAAGTATTATTACTATTAATTCGATCTGACATTGAATAATATGAAATTTTTATGTAATTAAGGTAAAAATTAGACACTCTTTTGGCTGCAAAATAAAGAAGCAATGCAAAATTAAAAAAAAACTTACATGGATCCATCGTTGAGGGACATATTGTCCACTTCGGTACGTGCATCACTGCTCAAACTCTGAAGCTCGGAATCCTGTCTGGATACTGGATTGTAGGAGGAATATTGTGCGTGCAATCTGGATACGTGCATGTGATACGGACTAGTCCCATGTTGCAAGTAAATGCTACAAATGCCACGCAAAACAGCAAAACGAAAACTAAATAAATAAGTTAAAAAATGGGATATTATTACAAACAAAAAATAAAACAAAATAAAATTAAAAAAAAATGTTATTACGGGGGGAGGCTGGGGGAAGAATCTTTCGACGATGTCAATTGCTCGGGAATCGGTGACAATAAAATGTAAACTTAAAATTTAATTTAGATTATGCAAGAGTTTCATCACATCAAGCTTCAAAAAGATAGCGCTGCTAAGGCATTCATCGCAGAACTGATCTGAAGCGTACTGTACAGAACGACGAATGGTATTTCAAGTAGTAAGGCTCGGTAATTTTAAGAAAAGCGCAATTATATATACCCTGCGAACGCCTCCGGTTTTGGTCGTAGATCCATCGCTCTACTCTGTTGGGTAGCCATCAGGACATCTTTGGTTAATCTTAATTCCCTCAGTTCTCCAGGTGTTCCGCAAGTCGAATGTGAATTTTGCATGAAGTCGTACTCGCTGTCTTCGTGCACAGTAGGCAGTAGACTCGGACCGCAGGAGATGGACATCTCGCGGCTGCCCGAGCCTGAACTCGGACAACCGCCCGAATCGGTATTCTGGCAGGATTGAACATAGTGGAGGTACACGTCGGACTGAAGGAAATTGGGATACGTCGTCTCGTTGATCAGTCGTTCGACTTCCAGCTGCACGATATCGAAGACCTTCTGATCGGCGCGGCCTTCCTTGACCCGCCGATCCGCCTCCTTCATCACATCCTCCGATATGGTTAGCTGAGACTTGAGAAAAAACCTTCGGTAGATGAGCTTCACCAGCTGCGAGATCCTGTCAACGTCTTTCTGCTCCTTGAGACCCTCGCAGGCAAACCAGAAATTGAGCGGATCCAAGTGGCCCTCTTGATCCAGGTACTTCTTGAATAGCTCCAGACCCACCGGATCCTCTAACAGGGAGTGCAGATTTCTCGCCCATCTTGCATAAGCGGGAGGCGAATTGCTCTCCATGGTAGTGGTTCCGCAACAACCCTCCGGTTCGAATCCCAATGGCGCGGAAGCATCGCAATCACCGCTGGAGGCGTGCGGTGTCGCGAAAGAAGAACGTCTAGGTGTCAGAGCGGGACTCTGTGGACGGATCCGGCTGACATAGCTTCCGGTTTCTTCTCCTAAAATGGAAACTTTATTTGAATAAAGTTTCACAGCATATTGATATATTTGTTCTAAAATAAATATCAAGCATTTAGATTAATCTATTATTGTCGTGCAATAGAAAAAGTTATAAATTATCAACAAAATCTAATAATCTCTATATTGTAACTTTTTTGAAGATATTTTGTAAAATTATAAGATTTTTTTTACAAAAAATAATATAAAAGTTTTAAGTTACGTTGTAAAAAAAAAAAAAAAAGTTAATATAGACTCATGTAGCTTTCTTTCACATGCATATATTCTGCCCTTTCGTCTCATTTAATTTAAGTTTCATCTTACCTGGCACTGGTGGCCTGGGAGAGTTCTCATTGAAGCAACGCGCTTCGTTGTGTCGAGATGCACTCATCCTATCTATTATAGCCTTCATGTACTATTTTGTTATCTATACTTAATATTCGCCCGCGATGTCTCTTAGAGGACATGGTTAGTCCCGACCTAAAACATACAGAGATTTTGCAATATAAATATCTGACTGTCATAACATTTTGTAGTTTTACAACAAAATACAATGTGTGAAACAATACAAATATGTAATTACATAAAAACAACCGCCAAGATATGTATTTCATTTAATCACAATGAAACAAAACATCTGTATTCAATCAATAACCTTTATAATTAATAAATTACATTTTGATGGAAAGAAAAATAAAATATACGAATTGAAATAAAATCTGAAAGATTGTATGTTTAATATTTTTATTACTAGTATAAATGTCTGCTAAACAAAAAAATATAAAGAGTTTATTGATTTCAATGTAGTTAGAACTCTGCGGAGAGAAGCAGAGTTGGTACGTGCTAACAAAGAATAGAAATCTGGGATGCTGGATCGATGGAGCTCTGCGGTGAGTCATATCTCTCAATTAAGCAGCTAAGGGAGGCTTTTTCTGTTGTCAGGAACTATAAGGGTGGAGCGTAGCTCCAGGAACCATCTCCTAGCAGGCTGCGCAGAGGGATGCATCTCTGCGTATACATATATATATGAACACCCCTTGGTCTGTTGCGCAGACCATTTTCTGTGGTATTGATCCAAACCTATAACGCAATCCATTGAATGCTCTTACCAGCTCTGAAAATGTCTATATCTATTTTTCTTGAATTTAATATCCTGTATATTACTGAAATCGAGACCTAACATAGCAGAAAAATATTAATAGGTTTATGAGGTAAGGCAATCTGCGGAAGAAAAGGCCATTATATCTCTGGGGTCTGCCCCTTTGTTACAGCAGGGCATAGAAATATGGTTCACATGACCCATACCTTAAGTGGCAAATGTGCAACTATATACTTGAGTAAGGGATATTGCTCCTTGTATGCACAATTAACAATTGCTGCTTCTATTACATTAATGCAACTCAAATTACAATAAAAGATCAAAACTTATATACTCAAACTGCATATATGTACATATAATATTAATTATACAAATTTACAAGAAAAATTCTTTATATATACTCACATAGTGTATGTAATAAATTTATATCACTGATTTGTAACAATTTATAAGTTAATAATTTTAATATTACTATGCCATATGCCTGTTGTTATTGTGGGGCTATTGGAGAGAGAAGGTACAGCTCTCTAATAAGTGTGGAAATTTGATCCCGACCCATACAAGGAAAGAAATATAAAATGAGAAACTGTCATAACGCATCATCTCACTTCACTGCACATTTACCTGAGTCAAAAGAGAAGAATCAGAATACATACCATCTTTATGGTGGAATCTAACACAAGCAGCCTTCAAATTTATTAAATCTACAAGGATGTATTATGATTCCGATGAAAGTGGAGCAATTCTATTAACTGCAAACACTGCAAAAATCTCTTTGTTAGATTATAAGAGCCTGCGATACCTTCCAAACCACTGCTGGAGGCACACTGAACGAAGGCTGCGTCCTGACCAGGACTGACGCCACATTGATATAGCGTTGTGACAGAGTAGGGGTAGAATCTAGAATCCTTGCGGACTACATTGACTCAGATTTCCAGCAAGATGCCTCATGAGAAGTGCTTTCATATATCATTCCTAAAAAGAACCAATATCCTCTAGTCTTTACTTCCAATATTAACTGTTTCCAAAGGATTCACTATAAATATATATAATATATGGCATTATAGAATCAGAATCATAAGACACAAGCATAGAAAAATGATAGAAGAATCATTTTCAATCAACATGAAGAATATATCACCTTACTTGTTCTATAATTGCATCTAATTACATCTATCTAACTACTAATGTCTGTATGACAAGAAAGAAGGAAAAATATATATAAAGAAATCAATCTTGGCGACTGCTTGAAAATTCTCCGAACAATCGCTATACTTTTACAAACAATAGCCACGTCGTAATCGACTCGGAATTTCTCTGATTGTACCTCTTTTACGAGCAAGAACCGGTCTCTCATAATCAAACAGATAAAGATTTTCCCCCTTTCAGCGAAACGGAGGAGAAAAATGTTTGTCAGCAACAGCAAGGTATTAACTTAAGAAGCTTTCCCAGCCGCATCAATTCGCTCGCGGATATTTTTTCATTGTCTGAGAAGATCTGCGCGTTCATCCTCGGACGGACGGAGGATCTCTTCGATTCACGTGTCTTCCTCCCTTGTTTGTGGAGACGAGGAAACACGTTTCGCTGTACGATTGTTCTTGCCGGCCTCGTTATTGTTATTGTTGCTCTCTTATTCGCTGATTTTTTCACGTAACCAAACGACATCTCTCTCTCTTTCTCCACCGAGAAAGCGAACTGATCCCGTATCCGATCCTAACAATGAATTAGCTGTTAAGCTGTTATCAATCGTTATATTTCAAACAACGCGTACGATATTTATACTCCGAGAACCTGATCCATTTTTCTCCTCCAAATTTGACAGTTCGGTGTCGCCATCTGTCGCGCGATAAGGGACATCGCGAAGTTGCAAACGGAACAATCTGTTTTGCCGATCGTTTTCGAATTTCCATAAGAGAGGGTGTGCAGAGAAGAACTTCATTATTTATGCGTGTGAGATAAATAGTAAATTGACATTTCATATCTGCTATTACTAGAATATATTATTATCATAAAATGAAGTATATTCTAACACGTGTCATTCGAACTGTCAAAAGAACCCACGTGGTCATTTGATTGACACCAATGACAGGTGCATTTGCTAGGAAAAGCTTTCATCACAAGACTTTTTTTATTATTATATATTTATATATTTATAATATAAATTTAATATAAATTTTATATTATAATATTAATATAATTTTATATTAAAACATCAAAATTCATTATTAATTACAAACACGCGATATTAAATTTGCTACTGAATTTTATTATTAAATTTTTAGAAATGCATCAACTTTGTAAATCACAAATTAAATCAATATAAATTATTATATACTAAACTGTGAAAGAGATAAAAATAATTACAATTTTACATTCTGAATAAATATTTTACGTGATCCTCTTAAAGACATTATAATTGTAATTTCTTTAATCAACATCATTAATCGCGCTAATCCCTTTCCAATCTTCGCTCGAGAAAAAAAATTCGTTCGTATACCCTCTCTTAGATTTAATTGCGTAAGGGAAATCGATAACTGGAGAGATTACAAAATTACAAGGTTTAAAGAAATTCATCCCTCCCCGCCCTCTCTTTACATTTACACCCTCAAATCGAGAAGATTCCTCCTCTCTTAATAGTTCGTCGCGTTTACTTTCATGATTTTTAATTATAGTATGTCAGCGCGCCGCGGGAATCATTACATAACGCGGGACGAATGTCATTAGTCAAATACATGCATATAAAAGGGAGAAAGAGATGCTCAAATTAAAATTATGTTCGCGTCGCGCTAACGAATTACGCGGATGATGTTTATATCTGATGTACGTGTCTTAATATTCCGCCGAACAACCATTACCACCGTCATCGCCATTCCATTTAATAACTTTAATTCTCATACTTCCTGTGCTCTTCCTGAAGGACCAAAGAATATATTAAACCTTTTCCGGCTCGGCGACTCTCCAATTGCGTGATATCCTTATCGGAACGCGTGCTTTTCCTTTCAATCTGTCGCTTTGCGCGTTTTCTTTGAAGTCGAGGATTAACCGCAGTAAAGAGATAGAATTTTGCTCCGGATAGGGATGTCACGTAATTGCAAAAGCTACTCTTTTAGTCCAATCTTTATAATTATTTTATTCGCCACGATTATATATTACGCACGTTACGCTGTAAATTATTTACAATAATGAATCAAAAATTTCGAATTTTTATATATTTTCTTAATCGTGTAATTTTATCATTAAATTCCTGTTTTTTTTTCAATTTTGGCATATAAAAGCTGTATAAATAAATTACTCAATTTTTGCATGCAAAATATAATAGATATATATGTAGCTCTTTTATAAAACATCGAATGTTAACAAATCAACGTTTTAATTAAAAATAAATAAATAAAATAAAAAATGCATATAATTTAATTCAATTTAATTGTTTTTTTAAATAAATTTATAGAATAATATAAAATTCGAAATATATTCGCTTCACTTGCCAATTTTACAGTGAAGTGGCTATGAGTATGAGAGATCGCGGTTCGGTCCGGCGTGAAATCAGGTCCGTTTCGCGCGGTCGACGACGTCGAGATCTCGCTTGAGAATACGAAAGGACGCGCGAAACACATACCGCGGAGAAGGAATTATAAGGGACACATTCGACGAGATATTAAGATCCGTCGAGGCGTGTTAAAGCCGCGTATATGCGGCGAAGAATTCGCGAGAATTCCCGTGTCCGTTCGCGCGAAAAAGAGTCGATCTCTTCTTCTCTCCCCCGATATGATATTAAAATTCACACCTTCGTGACTTTCAATTCCAAGGAATTTGCATCGGCGGCTTCCGGTCACCGCCGATATCCGATGCTTGTATAGAGACACGTGTTGGGATGTAAACGCTTCGGCGAGTGTCCGATCGATCAACTCTCGAATACGCAAGAAAGTGGGAATTGTTGTAGGATTTGTTTTATAGTTAATTGAAGAAAAAAAATTCGCTATTTGTGTATCTCGCGATATCTGATTAAAATTTTATAAATATATACGCATTGGTTAAGGAATATATTGAATAATAAAAAAAACGCGATAATTAATAATTTTTTCAAGTGTCAAATTAATGACAAAATAGACGCAGATAACGGAGACTGCGGTGCGGTAGTCGATAATCGCGAGCTATCGAGAATATCGCGGGTTCGTTACCGCCATCGGGATGCAATGCGAGAAACAGCTGTTGTGCCACGATAAAAAGTCCTGTTTACTAGATGCGATATTACCGACTAAAGTTCTGTACAACATCCCGGGAGATGCAAAGTATAAGATAACAGAAAATAAATTTTTAAATAAAGAAATTAAAGATATCAAATAGATAAGAACATTTTAACTGAGCTATTCAAATGCAATAAGTCGTGCAATATAAACCTTCATAAAATAACATTTATTTATAGACTACTACAATATAATAATTTTCTATATTATGGGAGTTTAAATTTATTTTGTCATTTAGATAATATGTGATAATAGTAACATTTTTGTTATATACTCAAATTTTTTTCTTTTTTAATCATATTCTACATCTTTCGAAGTTAGTATATAATTATGAAGTAATATAAATAAATCAAAGATTCTCGACAAAGAAATAAAAAGAGAGAGAAAAAGATAGATATGTATGAATTAATTGATAATTTTACTCAAATATTATTTTGTTAATGGAACATGTAAAAATATTTAAATTAAATATAACAAAACGTATATATGTATATTTGAATTAAATACCAATATATGTTCAATTTAACAAAATAGTAATTTAGTTAAAAGGTTTAACCAAGTTAACAAATTTGTTTTCACAGTGCATATAACGAAATCATGTCCTATGCAATAATAATGAACAAACTAATGAGCGATCGATCGCATTGCATTTTTCAAAAGGTGCAACGCGTGCCATATCCGCGATCAATCGACTCGCGAAAGACAGCATTTCGGAGATGAAAGCGGGAAATGAGAATTGGCAGAGCCCTTCGGTCTCTCTTTCGCTGTATGAGATGCGCAACGCTGGGATTGTCGAGAACGCGCTTTGAAACGCCGTCTCGTGGAGGACCATCGCGAAATGATTTGCTCATCCGAAGCCACTCGAGTGATCTGCCTGTGTGATTCGCCGCGAAACCTCGCCTCCCGCTGTTTCTCTACGGATTCACCCGATATATTCGCGCGATCCATTTTTCATCCCCCGTTAGGGTGAGTTCACGATAGCTCTCTCTTATTTATTTTACTTAAATGCAATTGTTTTTCGCGCTAATAGATCTTCGATCTCTATCGGAAATTTCTCTCTCCTTCTCGCAGCGACTTGAAAATTCATTTACAAAATAAGGAAACGAGAGAATCTAAAAAGGGATTATTAACACCGAGATGCGATTAAATTATCTCGATTAGAATTATGGTACGAGTATATATAATTAAAATTCTCTCAAATATGTACGTGTATACATACGCATAATTAAGAATGATTGAAAGAGATTAGAAAGCGGAGATATAAACGGATTGAAAGCGAGAACGAGCAGCAACACCGCCGGTCTCGCTCCCGATCTCTCGCGAGGGTCGTTTATCGGCGAGCGATTAAGATTCTTTCGAAAAAACGGGAGACGAGAGCCGAGCTGATGCTGCGGGAAGAAGAAAGGCGCATCGGGCGGACGAAGAGGAATCTTAAAGGCCATCCGACGATACACCTCTCTATGCGGCCGCTGACACGCCGGCTTTTTGTACGTCGCGATCAACGACGCGAGTTCCATTCCTCGAGCGGAACTCCCAAGAGAGTGCGAGAGTTTCTCCTTTCTATATTTTTCAGCAATCGCTCCGATCAAATGTAACAATAAAATTATATAATATCGAACTGGCAGTTGTGTGAACAAATATTTGATAAACGTAGAAGTTGTATTAAAATGATTACATTAAACAAAGTCGATAATAGAATGATTAGCACTCTTTTAAGAGTTCGGAGGATGATGATTTTTCAGCAATCGCTCCGATCAGATGTAACAATAAAATTATATAATATCGAACTGGCAGTTGTGTGAACAAATATTTGATAAACGTATAGGTTGTATTAAAATGATAACATTAAACAAAGTCGATAATAGAATGATTAGCACTCTTTTAAGAGTTCGGAGGATGATGATTTTTCAGCAATCGCTCCGATCAGATGTAACAATAAAATTATATGATATCGAATTGGCAGTTGTGTAAACAAATATTTGATAAACGTATAGGTTGTATTAAAATGATTACATTAAACAAAGTCGATAATAGAATGATTAGCACTCTTTTAAGAGTTCGGAGGATGATGATCTCTCGGAACAAATATTTGATAAACGTATAGGTTGTATTAAAATGATTACATTAAACAAAGTCGATAATAGAATGATTAGCACTCTTTTAAGAGTTCGGAGGATGATGCATTAAATTGGAGTAATATAGATAGATAGATCTATCTAATATAGATAGATAAATAGATAATATAGATATAGATAGATAGATAGATCTATCTATCTAACAACTAGCAACTTTTCTTTTATCTTTACCGCTTTGAATGGAAACAAGCAGCAATTTTTGTTGCTGGAAACAGAAGTAGCGAGAAACTAAGAAACTTTCAGTAACAACTAGCAACTTTTTGAAGAAACATGTAACACCCACATAAAGTTGTTCGTTATTGCTCCAGTGAGGACGCAGCTTAAGATAGGATAGATACCGATAGCAGAAGAGAAGAAACGAAATGGCACACGACGTACAGATACGGTGCTTAATATCTGTAATAGACACTTATTATCTCTCGTTATAG